GCTTTTTTTTTTTTTTTGAGTTTGGGTCTCACTCTGTCACCCAGACTGAAGTGCACAATCACACAATCACAGCTCACTGCAGCCTCAACCTCCTGGACTCAGGGGATCCTTCCACCTCAGTCTTCTCAAGTAGCTGGAACTACAGGGGTATACCACCATTCCCAGCTAGCTGATTTTTTTTGGGTAAAGATGAGATTTTGCGATGTCACCTAGGCTGGTCTCAAACTCCTGGGCTCAAGCAATCCTCCCGTCTTGGCCTCCCAAAGTGCTGGAATTACAGACATCGGCCATCACACCCAGACATTTTTAAAAATGCTAAGTCTTTAAAATGTGGTGTGTAGGCCAGGTGTGATGGCTTACGCCTGTAATCCTAGTACTTTGGAAGGTGGAGGCAAGAGGATAGCCTGAGCCCAGAGATTCAAAACCAGCCTTGGCAACATGGTGAGACCCGGTCTCTACAATAAATTTAAAAATTAGCCGGGCATGGTGGTATGCGCCTGTAGTTCCAGCTACTTGGAGGGCTGGGGTGGAAGGATTGCCTGAGCCCAGCAGGTCGAGGCTGCGGTAGCTGTGAGTGTGTCACTGCACACCAGCCTGGGTGACAGACTGAGAAACCGACTCAAAAATAAAATAAAATAAAATAAAATAAATAAAATAATAAAATGCAGTGTGTATTTTACAACACATCTAAATTTGGGCTAGTTTCTATTCCTGTGGCTTATGGCTATCATACACGACAGTGTAGATACAAAACAAATCAGAGGCCTGGACACTACCAAAAAGAGAAAAAAGAGGGGATTGAATACGAGGTTGATGGCTCAGCGTGAGGAAACTGTGGCTGACAAGAGAACCCAACAACAACAAGCTAAACAGATACCGAGGCTTATTATGGGGTGGCAGATGGAGGTGGGGAAGTTAGGGATCTGGGGTTTTGTGCATGTCATGAAAACTGTGTTTGTACAAGGTCTAACAGTTAGGTTCGCCAACTCATCCTAGAAAAAGGATTCCATACCTCATTGCTGAGTTTCGCTATGGTCGCCTTTGAAGTACTCCCCTTGGGAAGCTATGCACTGACACCAGCCATCAAGGCAATTTTGGAACTCTTTTTCTAGAATGGCCATCAGAGCTGTTGTCGTATTACCTTTGATGTCCTGAATGGCCTCACAATGTCTTCCTTTCAATATTTCCTTTATCTTTGGGTAAAGAAAAAAGTCATTGGGGGCCGGATCAGCTAAGTAGGGAGGGTGTTCCAATACAGCTGTTAACTGGCTAAAAACTCCCTCACAGACAGTGCTGTGTGAGCTGGTGCATGGTCGTAATGCAAGAGCTCCTTTGGGACCACTTTTGCATGCACCTTTCTCTCGCTCTTTTTGTGTGTGTGTGTTGGAGTCTCACTCTGTCGCCCAGGCTGGCATGCAGTGGCACGCTCCTGGCCACTGCAGTCTCAACCTGCCGGGCTCTGGTGATCCTTCCGCCTCAGCCTTCCAAGTAGCCGGAACCACAGGCGCACACTACCACACTCAGATAATTTTTGATTTATTGTAGAGATGAGGTCTCGCCAAGTTGCCTGAGTGGGTGTCGAACCCACGGCCTTAGGCAATCCACTCGCCTCAGCCTCTCAATGTGCTGGGATTATAGGCTGAGCCACCAAGCCTGGTCTGCACTTTTCTCATGCCAAGATTTTCAGATAAGATTTCCCTAAATGCTTCCTATCAATGTTTATTTGGTCCGCTATGCTTCTCACAGTCAGCCAATGATTCTGATGCACAACTCAACGAGTTTTTCCAATGTCTTCATCAGTTCTGCTCATTACTGGCCGTCCTGACCTCTCTTCATCAGTGACGTTTTCTCTCCCCTCAGACAAACTTTTAATCCATTTGTACACTCCTTTCTTCATGGCATTATCCCGCACACACTTGGACTCACATGTCCCCGATTTCATTTCCAATCTTGCCAAGTTGAACCAGAAATTTAATGTTTGTTCACTGCTGTAATTCAAACTCCAACATCCCCCTGAAGACAGCTCTGATGGCCATTCCAGAGAGTTCCAAAATTGCTTTGATGGGTGGAGTAGGCGCTGGCAGCAGTGCATGGCTTCCCAGGCAGAGTCCTTCGAAGGTGACCACAGTGATATTCAGCAATGAAGCATATAGTACTGTTTCTAGGATGAGTTCGCAAACGTAATTGTCATAACTCATACTTGTCAGGGGCAGAGAAAAAAAATGGACACCAAGCTCCAAGAGACTGACACTTTGTACAGAATCAATGAGCACACACACAACCGAAGGGCTCAAGCAGGTCCATGTGGACAGAGCGGGTAGCTCAGAGTGGTCAATACACAAGTGCCCCTGGCCAAGGACTCACTGGGGCTGGAACCCAGCCTGGACTCCATGAAATAAGCTGTGAGCCCTGGGCCAAGGCTCTGCAGAAAAGGGTGGGATTTCCTGGCCAGCACAAAGGAGCTGCCCACAGCAAATGCTCTTGGTGCTGCATGTACCTGGAGGGTCAGCTCCCCAGAGGGCCACCCTAGAGGGAGCTGGCGGCTCCCAGGCCCTACCACACATGGCCGGTGCGCAGCACATTTTGTGGCCCAGCTGGTCCTGGCCTGGCCCTCCCTCACCTCGGATGAGGAAGTAGCCTCCCACGATGAGCACCAGGCCGATCGGGGCCAGCACGAAGCCTGCCCGGTATCGGTAGTTCTTGTAGCCCACAAAGCAGATGCCGCTCACCGAGTCCCCGTCCACCTGCAGCAGGAAGGGGTGGGAGGGACAGTCGGTCATCCAGTGGCCCCCTCCCCGATGCCCACCCCACTGGGGTCCCCGGTCTCTACCAGTCACTATACCTGGGCCACAGCGAGGATCGCCACGGTGAGGACGAAGGGGAGTGACCATGTGAGCAAGTGGAAGTAGGATGTCTTGCCGGAGAGCGGTTGGTAGGTGGTGCCCAGGGCTTTGAAGGAGGTGTGCCAGGCATAGGTGAGGACCACAAACCACACCACGCCGGCCATCAGGGCGTAGTACACGATGACAAAGATGATGACGCAGGACAGGGTCTCGTTGGAGCTGTGCAGACATGTGGTGTGCACCTGGGGACGTCCCTCTGTATTCCCTCTGCCAGGGCCCTCCACCCTGTCCCTAGACCCTGGTTGCTGAGGTCTGAAGGTGCCCAGGAGAAAGGCTTGAGACAGAACCCAGGTCAGATCTGAAGCAGTGCTAGGAGACACTCCTCTGAACAGTCATGGTCAAGGTCCTGACACAGAAATCCACTTCCCAGTGCTGGAGCCCTGGGTTCAATGAGGCGGAGCTGAGCCCTACTCTGAAACCCGTCCCCTTCACGGTCTACGCCCACTCCAGCTGCTCCCCCGCACCTCCGAGTCCCTGAGACACCTACGTGGGCTCCCCTAGCCGCATGGTGCCATCTGCCCGGCAGACGATCTCCCGGCGGGCCCCGTCCATGAACTGGGCCAGCCAGCCGATGCTGCCCACGAAGAAGCATGCATTGACATAGAAGAGAATGACGGCCGGGTAGCGATTCGAGTTCCGCCAGTCAGCCACAAACGTGGCCTGGAAGACACAGGGGGCCGTGCTGTGAGGTGGGGCGGACGCCCTCGTCTGGGCCCAGACCCTTCTGATCACGCCCTTCCCTAGAGACCCCTCCAGGTCCTCTTCACCTCCACCGTCCCCCTGGCTCCCTCCTCCTTTCCAGGCTGAGGGTGTCCCACCTGCCTGTCTCTCCCATCTGGGGCCCTTCTGATCATGCCCCTTCCCTGGGGACTCTGCCATGTCCTCTCCTCCCCTGTCCCTCTGGTTCCCTCCTCCCTTTCCAGGCTGAGGGTGCTCCACTGAGAGTCCTTCGTTCTTTTTTTTTTTTTTGAGTTGGATTCCCACTCTGTCACCCAGCCTCGACCTGCTGGGCTCCGGCGATCCTTCCGCCTCAGCCTTCCGAGTAGCCGGAATTACAGGCGCGCGCTACCGCCCGGCTGAATTTTGGTTTATTGTAGAGATGAGGTCTCACCAAGTTGCCCAGGCGGGTCTCGAACCCGCGGGCTCAGGCAATCCACTCACCTCAGCCTCCCAAAGGCGCGGGATTACAGGCTGAGCCACTGAGCCCGGCTAGTCCTTCATTCTTTATTGTTTCTCGGTTGGAGTCTCATTCTGTCACCCAGGCTGGAGTACAGTGGCAGGCTCACAGCCATCGCAGCCTCGACCTCCTGGGCTCAGGCTATCCTCCCATCTCAATCTCCCAAGTAGTTGGAACTACAGGTGTGTGCCACCACACCCAGCTAATTTTTTTTTAATTGTAGGGGTGAGGTCTTGCCATGTTGCCTAGGCTGGTCTTGAACCCCTGGGCTCAGGCCATCCTCTTGCCTCTGCCTCCCAAAGTGCTGGGATTACAGGCATAAGCCACCACGCCTGGCCCCTTCCCTGGGGACCCCACCACGTCCTCTTCCCCCTCCGTCTCCTTCTCCCTTTCCAGGCTTAGGGTGCCCCCTGCCCACTCTTCTGCCAAGGGCCCGCCCTGCTGACCAGCGTGAAGAGAGTACAGAGGCCCGTGACAGCGCCGAAGGCCGCAATGTAGCTGTGCATATCCTGGTGCTCGGCCTCGGTGAAGAGCGGGTTCTGGCACTGGATGCCGCAGCCCTCCACGTCCTCGTACCAGCTCTTGGGGTTGTCGGTCCGCACCAAGGGCGCCTCGCACTGGCCCGAACTGTTGAACTTGATGTTCTGCACCTCATTCTGTCACCAGGGGCAGGGAGAAGACAGTGCAGGGGCACTCAGGGGTGAGCCCCCCATTCAGCAAGAGACAGCCGGGCGTGCAGCCTGGTAGCTGGAGACGCAATGCAGGGTCTGAGTCTCAGCCTGGCCACTTGATGGCTGTGCAGCTTCGGGCAAAGTACTTGGCCTCTCTGTACCAAAGTTTCCCCATCTATGAGATACCTACCTCATGGTATGGTTTAAGGGTTAGATGAATAAATAACTGTTAAGTGCTGATAATGGCATGTAGCAAACGGAATAATTAGCAGTATTAGTATCATTATCACTGCTATACTTTTTTTTTTTCTAATGAGCTGAGGTTTCACTCTGTCACCCAGGCTAGAATGCAGTGGCACCATTATGGCTCACCACAGCCTCAGCCTCCTGGGCTCAGGTGATCCTATTGCCTCAGCATCCCGAGTAGCTGGGACTATAGGTATGTGCCACCACACTCAGGTAATTTTTAAATAATTTTTTTGTAGAGCCAGACACAATGGCTCACACCTGTCATTCCAATACTTTGGGAGGCAGAGGTGAGAGGACTGCCTGAGTCCAGGGGTTTGAGACTAGCCCAGGCAACTTGGCGAGACCTCGTCTCTATGATAAATCAAAACATTAACCAGGTGTGGTGGTGTACACCTATAGTTCCAGCTACTTGGAAGGCTGAGGCAGAAGGATCGCCCGAGCCCAGCAGATTGAGGCTGCGGTGGCCATGGTGTGCCACTGTACTCCAGCTGGGGCAACAGAGTGGGACTCCAACTCAAAAAAAAATTTTTTTGGTACAGACAAGGGGCCTCCCAAGTGCTGGGATGACAGGCACGAGCCACTGTGCCCAGCCTACTGTTATTACTGTGATTTCAGAGCTCTCTTCGGGCAGCCCCCTTGGGTCCCTTCCCACTCTGGGAGCTTTTCCGTCCTCTCAATAAATCCTGCTTTCAAAAAAAATAAAGTAAGAACTCTCCTTCACCACTGGAACTGGATCAGGCCCCTGTCTTGGTGGCTCCAGCTGTTTCACATGCACATGCCTTGACTCCCTACATACGTGATAAATGTCCTAAGTGTGGGTTCCTGTCATCCATGACATCTGTCACCCAGCACTCAGCAGAGCGGAGACTCACACAGGATTCGCTGACGAACGAGAATCCCTGGCAGGTGATCCTGCCAGTGAGCTGGTTTGGGGATGTGGGCCATTGACCCCGTGGCGGTAGGTTCAGGGTCCCCCTGCTTCCGGCCTTCCGTCCGGTCCTGCCCAGCCCAGAGACTCGGGCCTTGTCCACAGAGCACTCACCGGGCAGCCTTCAGGGAAGTGGTCGGGGGTGCAGCGCAGGAAGTCGGGCCAGCCTCGCTCCCTCTCCACGATGGCACAGGGACCCCGGGTGGCCTGGCAGAGCGTGCGGCTGGGCAGCTCCACCCGGTCATTCTCACACTTGGGCATATACACAGCACACAGCAGGGGCTGGATCACGGCCCAGCAGCGGGGGGCGTTCCGGAGGCCTGGGGGGTGACAGTGGTGGGGACACATCAGTGAAGACCCCTCCTCACTCCACCCAGACACAGCTGCAGGCCTTGGCTACACTGCGGGCCATTACCACTCAGACCTGTCAGGCACAGTGCTTCCCACAGCGCATGTGGGCAGGACAATTCTTTGTGCTGAAGGACTGTCCCATGCACTGTAAGACATTAGAATTCCTAGACCCTGCCAACTGTATGCCCTTAAGTCATCATGACAAACAAAAAGTGTCCCCCCGCCCCAGAGGTGACGACCAGAACAGGGCCTGAAGAGGGAATTCTGGGATGCTGGGTATGTTCTTTCTTCATCTGGTCCTGGCCACACGAGGGTAAGCACCTTGTGAAGATCGGGTTCATGGTCTGTATGCTAGTCTGCAAGTATACAAGTCAATTACAGCGTCTAGGGAACAGCCGCCATATGCAAATGCCCTGCTAGGATCTCAGTGGGTTTGCCTTTTCAGGGTGTTCTTAAAACCCTCCACAGGCCTCTTCCAGGGGAAGGGGCATAGGGGAGCCCACCCCTCACAGGGCCCATTCGCCAGAACCGGGAGACGCTTCCCTCTGCCCAGACCCCAGACCCCTGTTCCTCTTACCAAGTCGAGTGAGAGAGAGGAGAGATGGGGGCTTAAGAAGAGGTAGCCAGAGGAGCCAGGTACTCCAAGCCAGAGGAGGAAGCAGGAGTCAGATGGAGAAACAGAGGAGGCTCTGTCCAGCGCAGAGGGAAGAGAGATGTTGTCAGCGAGACAGAAATAGGCGGCGGCTCCCACATCCCGGCCCAGCCCAGGCTGCCACCCTGCCCGCCGCAGTGGCCCCTTCGGAATCATCCCAGCTTCCGGAATGGCTCTTTCCCAAGCAAGAAGCAGTATTAGGAGAATCTTCTGCGGATGTGAGAGCCAACATGGGCGACAGTCACCCTGTCAGGCTGAGGATGGTAGGAGCAACTGACCACTCTTTTGGGGGAAGACAATAGCAAAGAGGGTAAGGAGCACAGACACTGCAATGAACTAGCCAGGGTCCAAATTGTGGCTCTACCCATTTCCTGGCTGTGTGATTGTATCTCTAGCCTCAGTCTCCTCATCTATAAAATGGAGATGAAAGGTTTTTTTCTTAATTTTAAACAGAGGTGGGGGTCTCACTGTGTTGCCCAGGCTGGTCTTGAACTTGTGGTCTCAAGGGACCCTCCTATCCTGGTCTCCCAAAGTGCTGGGATTCCAGGCATGAGCCACTGGGCCTGGCCAAGATGAACGATTTACCTCATAGAACTAATGTGAAGAGTGAGAGAATGCCATAAATCTGATCGGCACAGCACCTGCCATGCAGTAAGCACTCAGGAAATGTTGGCTGCTACTATTACTTGCCTGAGGCCTCTGACTGCTCACTGCTCTCAGTCTATTCAAAGCCATGTCCGTGGCCAGGTGCGGTGGCTCATACCTGTAATCCCAGCACTTTGGGAGGCCAAGGTGGGAGGATTGCTTAAACCGAGGAGTTTGAGACCAGTTGGGTGTGGTGGTGTATGCCTGTAGTCCCAGCTACTCAGAAGGTTGAGGCAAAAGGATTGGCTGAACCGAAGAGGCAGAGGTTGCAATGAACCATGACAGAGTGAGACCGTGACACACACACACACACACACACACACACACACACACAAAGGTGTGGCAGCTCATGCCTGTAATCCAAACACTTTGGGAGGCAGAGGCAAGAGGATAGCCTGAGTCCAGGGGTTCGAGACCAGCTTGGGCATCTTGGCGAGATCTCGTCTCTACAATCAATTTAAAAAATCAACCAGGCACGCCGGGCTCGGTGGCTCAGCCTGTGATCCCGCGCCTTTGGGAGGCTGAGGTGAGTGGATTGCTTGAGCCCGCGGGTTCGAGACTCACCTGGGCAGCGAGACCTCATCTCTACAGTAAATCAAAAAATCAGCCGGGCGTGCTAGCGTGCGCCTGTAATTCCGGCTACTCGGAAGGCTGAGGCGGAAGGATCACCGGAGCCCAGCAGGTCGAGGCTGCGGTGGCCGGGAGCGGCCACTGCACTCCAGTCTGGGCGACTGAGTGAGACTCCAACTCAAAAAAAAAAAAAAAAAAATCAACCAGGCATGGTGACATGCACCTGTGGTTCCAGCTACTTAGAAGGCTGAGATGGGAGGATCACCTGAGCCCAGCAAGTCGAGGTTGCAGTAGATGTGAGCATGCCACTGCCCTCCACTCTGGGTGACAGGGTGAGACTCCCACTCAAAAAGAACCAAAAAATAAGAAGTAGCAGCAGTAATGTCCTCAAGCAATAGTTCCGACTTGACTCAAATCAGAGTAACCTGGGAAACTGTGATCACTGTATCAGAAATTCTGAGCGGATGGGTGGTGGCAGAGCAGTGGGGACTGGGGTAAAGGGAGCGTTTGCCTGCAAAGCAGCACGAAAGAATATATGGGGTGACAGTGCTGTTCCCTGACTCAAAGGTGGCAGCTGGTTATGCAATGTTCAGACTCAGAACTGTACAACAAAGAAAGAGTGAACTTTACTAGCTGTGGATTGCACAATACGTGTCAAATGGTGGGGGACTCTCAAGAGTAAAATACTTTAGAGGAGCATTAGGCAGCTAATAAAAATGCCGTGGGCACACCTCATCAACAAGGGTACCTGCATAATGAATATTTGTATACCTAACCCTGAACTGTACCCCACGTATTTAAAATAAAATTTTTTTTTTTTTTTTTTGAGTTGGAGTCTCACTCTGTCGCCCAGACTGGAGTGCAGTGGCCGCTCCCGGCCACTGCAGCCTCGACCTGCTGGACTCCGGCGATCCTTCCACCTCAGCCTTCCGAGTAGCCGGAATTATAGGCATGCGCTACCACACCCGGCTGATTTTTTGATTTATTGTAGAGATGAGGTCTCACTGCCCAGGCAGGTCTTGAACCCACGGGCTCAGGCAATCCACTCACCTCAGCCTCCCAAAGGTGCGGGATTACAGGCTGAGCCACCAAGCCCGGCTTAAAATAAAAAATTTTAAACAACAAGTTATTTTTCTCAGCCTTGCAGTATTTGTGGTAACTATCAGCTTTTAAAAAATGTGTTACTGTTATATTTTTCTCTCATTTAAAATATTGTTTCATACTTTAAAAATAAGCTCCCCAGGGAAAAGAGAGGTCATTAAATACATGTGAAAGGACGCCTTACCCCATTTCTTATATAAAAGTAGATTCCAGATGGATCGAAAATAATGTTATTTTTCTAAAATCAAAGTTCTAAAAGAAGAGATGGGAAATGGTTTTTTACACCTTGGAGTGGAGAAGGCCTTTTTAAGGATGATATAAAAACTCAGAAACCACAAAATAAATGATCTAAAGAAAAGATGTCCAAAAAATAGATAAGTTCAGTAAGGTAAAAAAAAAAATTGTAAAAAAAGCAAGACAAGCCAGGCTAGGTGGCTCAGCCTGTAATCCCGCACCTTTGGGAGGCTGAGGTGAGTGGATTGCCTGAGCCCGTGGGTTCGAGACCCGCCTGGGCAGCGAGACCTCATCTCTACAATAAATCAAAAAATCAGCCAGGTGTGGTAGCGCGTGCCTGTAATTCCGGCTACTCGGAAGGCTGAGGCTGAAGGATCGCCGGAGTCCAGCAGGTCGAGGCTGCGTTGGCCGGGAGCAGCCACTGCACTCCAGTCTGGGCGACAGAGTGAGACTCCAACTCAAAAAAAAAGCAAGACACTAAGAAAATATATTTTCAATACATATCACAAGAACTAATTTCCTTATATGTAAAGTTCTTCCAAATCAGCAAAAATTGCATAACCCATAGAGCCATAGGCAAAAGACAAGTAACAGATCTCACAAAGAACATATAAATGGTCTCTAAAAATATAAGGAAGCCGGGCTCGGTGGCTCAGCCTATAATCCCACGTTTTGGGAGGCTGAGGTGAGTGAACTGCCTGAGCCCGCGGGTTCAAGATCCGCCTGGGCAACTTGGCGAGACCTCATCTCTACAATAAATCAAAAAAAAAAAAAAATTAGCTGGGTATGGTAGCACACGCCTGTAGTTCCAGCGAATCGGAAGGCTGAGGGGGAAGGATCGCCGGAGCCCAGCAGGTCGAGGCTGCGGTGGCCGCAAGCATGCCACTGCATTCCAGTCTGGGAGACAGAGTGAGACTCCAACTCAAAAAGAAAAAAAAAACGTTTGCAAAACATTTGACAATACTGTATTGTCAACAGTGTGGGGAAATATTGGCTTTTTTTTTTGAGTTGGAGTCTCACTCTATCACCTTGGCTGTAGTGTAGTGGCATGGTCACGGCCACCGCAGCCTCGACCTGCTGGGCTCAGTGATCCTTCCGCCTCAGCCTTCCAAGTAGCTGGAACTACAGGCATGTACCACCATGCCCAGCAAAGTTTTTAAAACTTCACTGTAGAGACAAAGTCTCACCAAGTTGCCCAGGCTGTTCTCAAACCCCTGGGCTCAGGCAATCCTCTCGCCTCTGCCTCCAAAAGTGCTGGGATGACCGGTGTAAGCAACTGTACCCAGTCTTTCACAAACTTTTAAAATAACACCTGCCACCATTTTATCTAGAGTTTTTAAAAGACTTTTTGATTGTATGATTCTGATGACCAGTCAAGTTGAGAGCCACTGTACTGTTTGGTTGGACATTAGAAAATTCAATCAATGCAATTTACTATATTAACAAATTAAAGGAGAAAAAAATCATATGATCATCTCAATGGATATAAAAAATATTGATAAGCCGGGCTCGGTGGCTCAGCCTGTAATCCCGCGCCTTTGGGAGGCTGAGATGAGTGGATTGCCTGAGCCCGCGGGTTCGAGACCCGCC